TAGCTAGGGTGATAAATAATCCACCCTGACTGCTGTACAACTTGCAGAAAAAAATTAGCCAATTATAACATTTTTAAACATTTAAGAAAATACTCATTAGAAACTATGAAAGAATTTTTTTTGCTATACTGACACTTGGGCATCCTTTTCCCCGGGGTGGGATGCTAAGTGAAAAAAATGTGAGGAGGTTTCTCTGTGATCTCCTTGGGGCTCCCTAGCATGGCTTCCTTACCTGCTCCATCTGTGAGAAACACATATCTTGCCCTCTATTCAGTTCAATGTTTGGTCATACTGTTAGCCATGGACATCTGATCAGGCAGTTGGGATTCAGCTTTGCCTAGTCACCAAGACATTTCAACAGGTAGGTTAGCTATGCAGGATCAGGCCCAGTTAGGACTTGGATGGGGGACCACGTGAGACTCCCTAAGCTGCAGGCTAGACTGGAAACATCTCAGAAGAAGGCAGTGATGTGGCACATTTATCACTCTTTAAAAGTTTTGTGGGCACAACTATTTCCTGGGGCATGACATCCTATAATAACCTGGAAGTTTCCTCCTTCTCTGTCTGCCTCTTTCCCCCAAGTTAAGGGACCTCCTGGAATGCAGAGCCACACAAGTAAGGCTCCCAAAAGGAAACCACAGAGAAATAGAGGTGTGGGGAGGACGGGATTATGTTGCTGTAGCTGCTCCAATAAATCTAAATGGTTTGGTTTCTTAGTCTGGTCTACCTTATATCACTGACAATGTTCATTCCAATAGTAAACCACACAGAATCATAGGATTGGAAGGGGCCTTCAAGGTCATCTAGTCCAATCCCCTACCCAGTGCAGGAATCCTTGTATCATCCTGGAAAAATATCTGTCCAATCTTTTCCTGAAAACCTTCACCAATAGATGACCCACAACTTCAAGAAGCAGCCTCCTCTGCTGCTTAATAGCTTTCAGAGTCAGGAAATTCCTCCTTATTTCAAGTTTGGATCTCTCTCTGTTACGCTTCCACTGGTTAGTTCTTGTGTTATCCTTGGGTTCTCTGGAGAATAAATCCACACCCTCTTCCTTGTTACATCCCTTCATGTTTTGGAAGATTGCTATCTCTTAGCCTCTCTTCTTCAGGCTAAACATACCCAATCCCTTTAAGTGCTCTTCATAGGATTTAGCCTCCAACCCCTTCATTGTCATTGTTCTTCTCTGCACTGTTCCCAGTTCCTCAGTGTTCTTCTGCTATTGTGGTGACCAGAAGTGGACACAGTCATCCAGTGTGGTCTGACCAGTGCAGTACAGAGTGGAACCATCACTTCCTGTGATCTTGGCACTATATGAGTTGATACAAACTACATTGGCTTTTTTGGTAGGCAAAGTGTGTGTAACATCACATAAGGCAGCCTGAAAACATTCTTGTAGGCAGTATTTGTTCTACATTTCTTTCAGCTACTCTCATTCAATTTTGATGGGGGAAGAAATCACTTTTTTTCAAAGGAGAAGAATATATCTATAAAATTTATGGGTGGGGCCATAAGCCTGTTTTGCAGAAGATCTCTTAGAAATTGCTACCATATTAGTTTGTAACATTTCACTCATTCCTCACTCAAGAAAAGTTTTGCTTAGCATCTTACAAAAAAGAATAGAGATAAAAAATAGAAGGAAGAAGGAGGCAGGCTTCAGAAAAAGCAGAGGGACAGTGGAGAGACAAAAGAATACAAGAGGGAGGTTTCCTTTGCTTTGCTGGACTCCATTAAAGCTAAAGGGTGTTCTGGGTACGAGCAAATGATAGACTAGAAAAAAACTGTCCTGCTTCTGAAGGTTGAAGAATAAAAGAAGAGGAAGACAACAGATAAGTTGGATGGACAGGATCAAGGAGGTCACTGGAAAGTCTTTGGAAGAGCTAGGGATTATCACTGGGGACTAATTCAGATGCCAGCCATTTATCTCCAGCAGTAGGTTCTGACTCAGTGGTATCTTACTAATGCCAGTAACCCTGGGCAACCTATTTTTGTTTCCCTGTGTTATTATTTCTGTGTGTGTGTGTGTGTGTGTGTGTGTCTTGAATTCAGGCCTGAAAGAGTGGCTGCAGCTGTATGGATGTATGTTGGTTGTTAGACCTCCATAAACTCTGTTACAAATGTTAGCCTTTATGTCTTGTTGAGTGTGACTAGAAGACAGCTCCATTTGATATTCTGATGTTGAGGCACCAAAAACAGGCATAACGTGATTGGCACTAGTTTACCCATGAATCCACTGGGAAAAAACGGAATGGAATTTTAAGAAACAGTGATAGCCCTCAACTTGGATTCCTCTACCATTTGTAGAGGATAAGGCTATTGATAACTACACATTCTAATGGTAATCTATTTACCTCCAATAAGAGGGCAATTCCAGTTGCTAGAGGACAGGAGTTACTGTATTTGTGTTTTGCTTGTGGGATTCCTGTTGGGATCTGGTTGGCCTTGATAGGAACAGAAGGCTGGAGTTTGTAGTCTTTGGGGCCTGAGCCAGTATGGCTCTTCTTCTTTTTTCATTTAATCAAGGTGATCTACAGCTACTGTTTTATAACAGGTAACAACAAGCTTTGATTCTTTATCCTCTATATGAGAGCCAATTTGATGTAGTGGTTAAAGGCAATGGAATAGAAATAGGTAAACTTTAGTTCTAATCTTGCCTTAGGCATAAAACCATGGGTGACCATGCTTTCTCAGCCCTAGGAAGGAGACAACAGCAAACCACTTCTGCAAATGGGACCAAGAAAAGTACAAGTATAGAAAAGTCCATATAGGCACCAGGAGTCAAGGTTGACTCAAAGGACCAGAACAACCCTCTAAATACTGTGGATCTCTACCCAAAAATACTTGAGCCAATTCAGTTTTAAGAATTTTTCACTGAAGAAGTAACATTTTGTATTAAACCAAGTTAAATCAAAACAGATTTACATAAAATATTAATTTAAAGATTGAACTTCCAACACACTTGCTAGTGGATCCCATTATTACAAAATATGTATATGATTAGTTACTGTCCTCTAGTGGCTAATATTAAAACAGGCAGAGGGTCTGCAGACCAGTTTTAAAGAATACAGATGTTCATAAAAAAGGGATAACATCTAAAATATATATCATGGCAATACTTTTATAAGGCTTTAACAAGCTATCAAAATATTTAATTAGGAAAAATATTACAAGAAGGGGGATCAGAAAAAGGAAAAGAAAAAACAGGTGGGATTGCCAGGTTGAAGAAGTAAAAGTCCCTCTACTTCTATTTTTACTTACCAACAAACCAGCATATTCTGCTTTTGGATGGAAACAGTCCCAAGCATGATTTTTATTTAATTAGATTTATCACCCACCAAATCCAAAAACTCTAGGCAGTGTATAAAATTAAAACAGCATAAAAATACAATATAAAACCACATATACAAGTATAGTGCAATACCTCCGCCAGTTGGGATCATAAATCATCTTATCTTCTGGCTTGGTTGGGAAGCCAGGTTTTAGAGATTTGGGAGGGGGGCAGATAAATCTCCAGGGGGAGGGAGGTGGTATTCCAGAGGGCAGAGACAACAAGAGAGAAGCCAAGAGATGAATCTGGAGCATGCTCACCCTGTCTGTTCTTATAGGATGGAGATAATTGGAGAAAGGTGGTCCCATAAATACCCAGGCCCCAAGTCATGTACAAGTGACAACCAGCACCTTAAATTGCACCTATAAACCCACTGTGCTATTCAACATATTTAAAAACAGCTTGGATGAGGGGTTAAATGGTATGATAATCAAATCTGCACATGACACAAAGACATATATGTAGAATATTGTGTCTAGTTTGGGGTGTTGCATTTTAGAAAGTATATTGAGAAATTGGAATGTGTCCAGAGAAGAGCAACCAAGAATTGAATCAAGAGCAAATTTGTATCAACCTTATTTTTACTTCAACCTCAAGTGAAGTCTTAGTTATTCACTTTGAATTTGGGGTTCTACAGACAGCAGTTTAAATCTGCATTTCATTTATATCTAAGTTATTTTTTATTTTTATTTCTTTATATTGTTTTAATGAATGCCCAAAGATCTCCTTTGTTGACAAGCTATACATATTTTAATGAATTAAAAAAAAATCCGAGCAAAGTTATCTGATATCCCATTTATTTTTATAGTCAACCACACTGTTGACCACAGCTGCTCTAGCGAATAAAGAATCTCTGTGTTGGCTAACTCTATAAAGGCTTATCTGTTTATAACTGCTCATAAATACATATTT